CGTAGACATTGACAACAATAAAGTGCAGATGCACAACAAAAACAGCCCTAACAATAAGGTAATAAGACCTAAAAATAGATAATATAAAGTGTTCCAACAGTGTTCCCTGGAAAATAGTGTACTAGGGCAGAGCAGATTGCATCCTCTGTGGATCGTTTCGCTCTGTATGCGAACTGGTATGGGTCCAGGGTGTAGTCATAATTCATAATCCAGTGAAATATCTGCGTCACCTCTTACAGTTTTCCTGTAATCTGAGCTCAAAAATGAGGATATTAAAAGTACAGTAGAGTAAATTGTGCAAAGTTTACTATCAACTTTCTAAAAATCCGTACAGTAATTTTTGCTGTGGATCACAGGGTGAAGAGTGGCGACAACCTAGAGTCAGAATCCAGTGAAATATCTGCGTCACCTCTTACAGTTTTCCTGTAATCTGAGGTTAAAGATGAGAATATATAGAGTAGAGTACAGTAAATTGTGCAAAGTTTACTATCAATTTTCTAAAAATCCGTACAGTAATTTTTGCTGTGGATGACAGGGGGAAAAGTGGAGATACACTAAAACTGGGAGTGGATTGTGAAGTAAAATAGTGTCAGGACACAAAAGACTGCGTTTCTAAGCCGGGCTTCACCCATACCGTAATATACGTAAGAGTAGTGCAACCACATTTTCGGTGCGGCTGGCGGTGCGGCTAGCTTGACTGTGACTTCGTAAGTGGGGGCTCACTTGACCGCAGTGCTAAAACTGTGGTTAGAGCAGGCGCAGAAAAGACAGGAGGCAGTGAACGCGAAGAGAGCAGCTTTGCAGGCATTAGCCGTGAAACCTGAAGATGGGACGGTGCGGTCTACTTCAGTGGTGCTGACGTTAAAGGACCAACAGCGTAGAGCAGCATTAGAGAGAGAGAGGCCAGAGAGGAGGAAGAAAAGCAGGAGCAGGAGAAGAGAGAGAGAGAGGAGGAGGATAGAGTACGGCAGGAGTTTGGGGATGCCGCAGCACGATATTTAAGCCCTTATAACACTAGATCCAAAACTAAAAGGGATGAGGCGAGTGCAGCTGGTATGCCTGCCTACCCTTTCCATGATACCTTTCCCATGGTGGAGGTTGCGAATCCCCATTTTGGTGTTGAGGATGACCCGTGTTATTTGTGTTTACAGGCCATGGACTGAATCTGAATGTGCAGAGGTATGTAAAGGTTTAGGAAACCCGTTGACTAATGTTGATGAATTTATCGCCCGACACAAGCAACTCTGCTCCTCGTACCGGTTGGCTTAAATTAAGAGGAGCTTGTTTTTGATGAACTGAGAGGTGGCACCAAGGTCCAATATAAGACAAATAAGGATTATTTTGAACTTTGAATCCTGCAAATGTGGGACTAATGAGGAGCAGAATCAGTCTAATGTAAGTGTGACTTTATTCACCGATAGTATCCAGAACAGCGGCCTTGGTCTCGGGATCTTCACTGTATAGGGAACCGATTTTCAGAATGACATCAGCAGCTTTCTGTGGCTCAGATGCATCGACCTGGTGAGAAGACAGCAACAGGTTAAACCCATTCCAGCAAAGTAAAACACGCCAACACCAACATGCTACAAACACTTATGCTGACTACTTAAAAACATGTAACCTCTTGCTGAAGGTGTGTCCTCAACTGTCCCAGCTGGAGAAGCCGTTCTGCAGAGGGGCAGCTGAGGAACGATGTGATCTCCGCCTGTGGACGAACATAGAGACATCACTGAGAACTCTTTTCATTTCCCAGTTTATGTGAAGTAACTAACTGATCAACAATCACATGAAAGCAACTGTTCGTCTAATAAAGCTTCAACTTACAGGACTGTTAGGCGAAACAGGACTATTTCCATTTGTTGTTGACTAAGGGCAACCGGCTATTTCTAGGGAGCTGCTTTCCAATTGCCATTATATCATGCTCGTTCATCTCTCATTTACTTTGACATCGGTGGTCTAGTGCAACTTTGTCACCCCTCCCACCGTTCGCGGCCTGGAACTGCATAACCTGTTATCGATCATCTCGTGTAATACCGGGGCTCATCAATGCCATCGTCTTCACGTTTTCACAGTATCACGTCAATGTCGTAAGCATCCTGATCAGTCGTGCACACATATCTTACTTTTTTTGCATCTCCTCAGTCATCACTGCATCATCTCGCCGTCATCATCTGTTTCGCTCTAAATCTTCATCCTGTAGAGTGATTTAAATCTATTGTTTGCATGTTTGTGGAGTTAAACACTGAAAATGATTATGGATTTTTAAAGCCTGCGTTACCTGAGTGACTCGAGCACGTCTCCTTTGTTCATGTTCTCCATAGCCTCTCTCAAAGCCTCACAGCCCTCCTCTCCAAGACAGTTACCTATCAGCCACAAACAAAACCAGTTTCAAACTAAAAATAGAAATAGAAGAATAGAAAACTTTTATTTGTCAATTTCTTCAAATGTACTTGCCATACAAAGGAATTGAAATTACGTTTCACACTGTCCCATGCGTAGACATTGACAACAATAAAGTGCAGATGCACAACAAAAACAGCCCTAACAATAAGGTAATAAGACCTAAAAATAGATAATATAAAGTGTTCCAACAGTGTTCCCTGGAAAATAGTGTACTAGGGCAGAGCAGATTGCATCCTCTGTGGATCGTTTCGCTCTGTATGCGAACTGGTATGGGTCCAGGGTGTAGTCATAATTCATAATCCAGTGAAATATCTGCGTCACCTCTTACAGTTTTCCTGTAATCTGAGCTCAAAAATGAGGATATTAAAAGTACAGTAGAGTAAATTGTGCAAAGTTTACTATCAATTTTCTCAAAAACCGTACAGTAATTTTTGCTGTGGATCACAGGGTGAAGAGTGGCGACAGCCTAGAGTCAGAATCCAGTGAAATATCTGCGTCACCTCTTACAGTTTTCCTGTAATCTGAGCTCAAAGATGAGAATATTAAAAGTACAGTAGAGTAAATTGTGCAAAGTTTACTATCAATTTTCTCAAAATCCGTACAGTAATTTTTGCTGTGGATGACAGGGTGAAGAGTGGAGATACACTAAAACTGGGAGTGGATTGTGAAGTAAAATAGTGTCAGGACACAAAAGACTGCGTTTCTAAGCCGGGCTTCACCCATACCGTAATATACGTAAGAGTAGTGCAACCACATTTTCGGTGCGGCTGGCGGTGCGGCTAGCTTGACTGTCGAGAAATTGAAACAGGAGGGCTTCATACTGGCGTCCGCTAAATTGTGGTTAGAGCAGGCGCAGAAAAGACAGGAGGCAGTGAATGCGAAGAGAGCAGCTTTGCAGGCATTAGCTGTGAAACCTGAAGATGAGACGGTGCGGTCTACTTCAGTGGTGCTGACGTTAAAGGACCAACAGCGTAGAGCAGCATTAGAGAGAGAGAGAGAGGTCAGAAAGGAGGAAGAAAAGCGGGAGCAGGAGAAGAGAGAGAGAGAGGAGGAGGACAGAGTACGGCTGGAGTTTGGGGATGCCGCAGCAGAATATTTAAGTCCTTATAACACTAGATCCAAATCTAAAAGCCATGAGGCGAGTGCAGCTGGTATGCCTGTCTACCCTTTCCATGATACCTTTCCCATGGTGGAGGTCGCGAATCCCCATTTTGGTGTTGAGGATGACCGAAGCCGTGTTATTTGTGTTTACAGGCCATGGACTGAATCTGAATGTGCAGAGGCATGTAAAGATTTAGGAAACCCGTTGACTAATGTTGATGAATTTATCGCCCGACACAAGCAACTCTGCTCCTCGTACCGTTTAAACGGTCAGGAAACAGAAGCCACCTTTAGGAAGTGTCTCACATATAACTGGGCTCGGGTGCGAGGCACCTACACAGGGAGGGATGGTAATACCGTCCTACCCTATGGCCATGCAAATTTAAGAGGCCAAGTTGACGGGGTTTATGAGCGTCTTAGAAATACTTTTAAAGCTTCTGTAGATTACAACAAAATTGCCCAATGCATTCAGAAAGAAGGAGAGGATGTTCATGAGTTCAGGGCAAGATTAGAGGAAGTTTTCAAAGAACATAGCGGCCTTGAAGAGAGTGCAGAGAAGGCCAGCCCATATCAGCAGCAGTTAAAACATGCTCTGATGAATGGCTTCCATCCACGCATTGCTGCTCTTATCAGAAAACAAAATGTCAATCAGAACACTGATGGGTCCGTTGAATGCATGAACTGGGCCCGCCATGCACAGGAAGTCATTAAAAATAAAAATAAAAAGTCACAAAGCTCTGAGGCCGCTGCTTTTTTAGCAGGTGAAATTTTGTTTCAGGGACAGGCTGGAAGAGAGCAAAATAGAGGCAGAAGTAGGAGAGGTAGGGGCCCATGGCGACCCCAGGATAACCGTAGAAGAGATGAGAGGTGTTATCAATGCGGGGAGAGGGGCCACTTTGCCAGAGAATGCCCCGAGAACAAACCTGAGGAGTATAGACAGCCGTATTCACAAAATCCATCATATAATAAATGACTAGCACCCGTTGACACTGCTAACACACATACATGTACAAATGATCCCTTACTTTGCCAGAATTTACAACAGCCTGTGTTTCAGACTCTAGATTTGACTGAAGTATTGTTAAATCTGTCAGGGAAAGAAGTAAAACCAGTTCGCACGTTAACTGTGCAAGGCAAAACTGTTCAATTTCTGTGTGATTCAGGTGCAGATAAAACTGTTTTAAAAGATCATGTGTCAGGAGTTGATCCTTCAAATGGCACAATTTATGTGAAGTCTGCAAATGGTCAGTTAAATCAGCATAGAATCTCTAAACCAGTGTGGATTAGAGATCCTACCACAGGAGAGGCAGCTCAGGGTTCATCCCAATGGATGTTGGAATTATTGAAATTCCAAGTTTCATCATCATATCTCTTCCCAAGAGGTTCACCGGACAAGTTGGGCACATTACAACTGAACCCTGAGCTGCCTCTCCTGTGGTAGGATCTCTAATCCACACTGGTTTAGAGATTCTATGCTGATTTAACTGACCATTTGCAGACTTCACATAAATTGTGCCATTTGAAGGATCAACTCCTGACACATGATCTTTTAAAACAGTTTTATCTGCACCTGAATCACACAGAAATTGAACAGTTTTGCCTTGCACAGTTAACGTGCGAACTGGTTTTACTTCTTTCCCTGACAGATTTAACAATACTTCAGTCAAATCTAGAGTCTGAAACACAGGCTGTTGTAAATTCTGGCAAAGTAAGGGATCATTTGTACATGTATGTGTGTTAGCAGTGTCAACGGGTGCTAGTCATTTATTATATGATGGATTTTGTGAATACGGCTGTCTATACTCCTCAGGTTTGTTCTCGGGGCATTCTCTGGCAAAGTGGCCCCTCTCCCCGCATTGATAACACCTCTCATCTCTTCTACGGTTATCCTGGGGTCGCCATGGGCCCCTACCTCTCCTACTCCTGCCTCTATTTTGCTCTCTTCCAGCCTGTCCCTGAAACAAAATTTCACCTGCTAAAAAAGCAGCGGCCTCAGAGCTTTGTGACTTTTTTTTTTATTTTTAATGACTTCCTGTGCATGGCGGGCCCAGTTCATGCATTCAACGGACCCGTCAGTGTTATGACTAACATTTTGTTTTCTGATGAAATCAGCAATGGGTGAATGAAAGCCATTCATCAAAGCATGTTTTAACTGCTGCTGATATGGGCTGGCCTTCTCTGCACTCTCTTCAAGGCCGCTATGTTCTTTGAAAACTTCCTCTAATCTCCCTCTGAACTCATGAACATCCTCTCCTGCTTTCTGCATGCATTGGGCAATTTTGTTGTAATCTACAGAAGCTTTAAAAGTATTTCTAAGACGCTCATAAACCCCATCAACTTGGCCTCTTAAATTTGCATGGCCATAGGGTAGGACGGTATTACCATCCCTCCCTGTGTAGGTGCCTCGCACCCGAGCCCAGTTATATGTGAGACACTTCCTAAAGGTGGCTTCTGTTTCCTGACCGTTTAAG